TGTCGTTTCAGCACCAGTGGTGTCCTTGTGCACCTCAGAGATGTAAAGCATCCTCTTGCTATGACATCCATGCACATGTGGCTTTACGTGTTTCCAAAATATATGTTTCTATTTGTTATGCTGTTTCTTTGTAATGGATCACAATTCCTCTTTTGATATGCCAGGGAATGTGCATTGATTTAAGGCTGTCCTCCAGAGGAATAATTCATTTTTTTTCGATTATGAACTTCAATTTCCCTACACAATCCTTGCCCCCACCATGGAGATGAAAGTACGTGTTTTTCTGCCATATTCGTGCGTGAGTTGTAGTTTTTTTGCAGGATTTTTCTGTAATCAGGCTTTGCGTTATTCCGAAATACAGTTCCTGCTGCGGCCTTGATCCATCAAGTATGAGGATGTCATTTGTACAGTACACGTATAATTAAATACACTGTTGCTGCTCCAGTGACTCAACATAGGTCCGAACAAAAACCATAAATGCTGCAACATGCCACCAACAAACCGTAAAACAGTCGATTTCGAGTTCAAATCACATGCAGGCACCAGACCTGCACGTAAACCCTGATATGCCCCAACCCCGCCCTGCATGTTCCACTAAATCAATACATCACACTCGTGACTAAAGCATATTCCATTAAGCCTCCCGACGAGAATGCCCATAACCAGATATTACAAATTTGGGTGGCAGCAACGCTTGCCGCTGTAATCAATGTCAGCTGCACGTGTCTTCTCGCACACTTGAGATCTCTTTTTTTAAAACCAAAAATGCCCCCAGAAATTAGACACAAACTGGTGACCGCATGCCCTTCCATGCAAAGCCAGGAAACCCATGTCATTATGAGGCAGGCACTACTCACTGTTGTACTTATCTTCGTGATTAGGCGGGCTAAATATACCAGCTTCGGTACATTACGACGAGTACTTCCACAAATCTCAGCTCTTCGCACACACTCTCTTCACTTTCTTCAAGCACTGGAGAATAAAAATCCCTCCTATTTGCCTCCGGGCTACTCAGTCGTCAAGAGGTGGACTAGAGAGGCGCACTTGCAGGCACGTGTTAAGGCACGATTTATAATTTAATGTTACATCACTTTGTCACTCCACTGCTGAATCAAAAGCCTTCGCACAAGGTGTAGATCATGGCTGCAGTTTGACCATACTTCACCACGCTGAGCAGTGAAGGATAGGAAGCTCAGGGCCGAGTTAGATATAATTCGCCACTGATGTTCGCCGTGCCCAGGAATCACACTCATAGCCTACTGAGCGCAACCACAGTGCACCATGTATGCACACACTCGATGTGTGAATGCACTATATATATGCTCGGCACACATCGCAGTATGATCCACACAAGGCCAGTGTCCTTTGTGGAGATCCCGAGTGCATCAGATTTTAATTTCATACCGTCCAACAACCTCGCATACAGCTCTGTGCGCAAAGTCTACTAGGATGATATCGATTTATTAAAGAGAGACAAATAGACCACCTCGCGACCTCATCATCACATACGCCTTCCTTCACACACACACCTCTGCGGTGAACAAACACGAGCGCGCACACACCAATAACCCCACAAGTGACGGTGTTGTCCCCACGTTGCCTGTGCCAGGCGGGGTGCACTTTGTGGCCACGTGAAGTTGTCGAAAGCTCGCTGAGAGGGAGGTCTCGGGACAGACCCAGCAGGTGCCATGGGTTGGCTGACTGAGATGACCATGGCATGCAGCACCGGCTGTACACCCTACTATGCCAACGTTGCTGTATTTTATCCGCCTGGCGCTCCGTTTGTTGTTGTGAGCGTCGCTTCTCTGCCATCCGTTGTTGCTGGAGGGCGACTGCCTCCACCTGCCCAGTAGCAGCATCGTCCTTCACGAGCCCCCTTCATAGAGGCCAATCTTGACACCGCTGGTACCAGTCGTTGGCAAGTCCACTCAGCTCCACATCCTCCTGTACCGCATCAGTCCATCTCTTCTCCAGCCCGTGTCGTGCCCGTTTAGCCCCCTCTATGTGACCGAACAAAAGCTGTTTAGGCATGCGGTGGCTGGGCATGCGGTGGCTGGGCATGCGGTGGCTGGGCATACAGTGGCTGGGCATGCGGGCTACATGACCCAGCCAACGCAGCCTACCGGAGGAGCTCACCGATGGGAGTTTGTCCAAATCTTTCAAGTATTTGTGAGCTCCTCACACAATCCAGCCTGGTTAAACCCAGAATGGATCGTAGGCATGCCAGCCTGAATATTTCTAACCGGCGCAGATGTTCCATTAGAGGGTTCCACGTTTCACAAGCATAGAGAAGGGAGGGCATGACTGTGGCCGAGAATTCCCGAAGCTTCGTGCGGAGCGACATTCCAGGTAGCTTCCACACTGCATTGCGCAGCCGATGAAAATATAATGCCGCCCGACTGATTCAGAGTGAGACCTCTGTCGTCAAACCGGAGCTGGTCATAAGCACCAGCGCACAGACAAGCACATAAACACACAGGTGTGAACATACACAAGACAAAGATCCCACCGATGGCCTCGAACAGACTGTTGGGGCAAGTGCTGTTATGATGGCCGGCACGGCACATGAGGGGGTGGGTGGTTAGCAACATACACACTTCAGCAGTTTTTTTCTTGTTGTGGTTGTCCCACCTGATGACAGTTGCTTGTGTTGCGATCGAAACGTCGTGATCTATTATTTTTCTACCTACGTGACTTTACCGAAAGAACCAACAATATACACATACACACAAGCACACACAGGAGTGAATGCTGTAGACACAAACACATGGCAAGCGCACACACACACACGAGCACACAAGCAAATACAGGAGTGAGCATGTACAACAACAAAACTAAACACAGAGTTGAGCAGACACAAGCACAGCGCGGAAGAAATCAAACACACCTGCGCGCGCGCGCGCCGCCAACACTTTCGGCACATTGGAATGCTTTTACGCAGTTGTCTACCACTCTGAAGTAGGTCCGGTCTCTGCAAATTGTCAATTCATATTTGATATGATTATTCACCTCTCCGCTCCGCGGTCGAGTTAACAACGAAGACTGCCCTTTCCGCACGTCGCATGCACGCACATTCACGCGTCCTCTCCCCATCCGCTGGTTAGCGCCGGGTTGGTGAAATCCGAAGCATAAGCTTCTGGCGCAATAGCAGAGGTGTCCAGTGTTAACAATGGATCTAGCAGCAATTCCCTCTCTGCCCCCCGGGCATAACGCAGTCCCGCAGCAGCCTATAATAGCACCTGCTCTTTGCAAGGTGGTCCGCCCATCCAAGCGAGCACTATCCAGGATCAACTTTGCTTATCTCCCTCAATGTTGACGAGAACAGGCGCATTGGATATGTTTAACTGGTCAGCAGTAGTGTGTGTACGCGTAAACATCGCCACTGGGGAGACAAAGGCGGCCGGGCTTGGTGTTGGCCACCCACCCCCTCGTCTGCCGTCGGCGGCCTTAATAGATGCTCGCGTACAGCATTTGCCCCAACAGTCTGTTCAGGCTATACGGGGGATCTTTGTGTCTGTACTGTCGTGAACGGCGGTACTCTCAGTGCTGTAATACGAATGCAAACTGAAGTTTTGCCACATTCTACTCGTCTTGATTAAACCCAGGCCAGACGCGCAGAGAGAGGAGAGATATTACCGCTGGAAACCCCCGGTACTTTATAAGCCGCACGCTGTAGCTGATGTTTATTCGACCGCACATCTTTAATTGCTTCGATATACCCACGTGTTACAGTGTCAGCTAGCATCTGTTATTATTCACATTATATGATTGAGACAAAGAGCCGCGGCTTGGAATGCTGCCAAATCCGCCCCATTCCTCGTGTGCTCAAGTTGCGTTTGAACGTAAAGGGGGGGGGGGGGCTTAAGTGATCTTCCCAGAAGGAGGATGACAGAACGAGCTCGAAGCGATCACAGCCGAGGTGTTGCCCCGACACCCTGTCACTCAGGCGACGCGTGAAGACAACCGCCAAGGTGGCCCACGTGGAGGTTCTGAGAGACGAGGACTGAACGCCCCTGGGGGCAGTTGGCTGGACGTTTGATATTCGCCTGACATTCGCAACAAAAGGGCACTTAGTCTTACACCATTCCAAGTGGAATAGGAGGGAATATGATGTTATTTTTTTTTATTGGTTTTCACAAATTTGCGTGAGAATTCCCAGCGAGACCAGTGGTGGATGCCACCCATGTTTACAAGCGCTTTCTCTCGTAATACGGTTGCGACGATGGGGCTTAGTGCTTTGGATGCCAATGTCAAACGAATATCAAACGTCCAATAAACTTTCCTTCGGTAGGACGACTCATACAACAAAACATTCACACTGTCAAGTGCGAGCGAGGCTACACAAGTTTTTTTTGTGTTGCTTTCTGACGTGTTGCGGTATTTACAGGAATAACTCACGCAATGAAATATTCACACTGCCCAAGTTAAGTGTGAATATGTGTGTGCGGTTTATCGATCGCACTTGAACTCGCTGTCGAGTTATAGTGTTATAACAATGCACTGTCATCCTCTGCAGTAGCATACACTGATTTCATATACACACGCACGAACTATAAACATAGCGAGCTGTATTCATTCACACAACACATGCACACTGATTACTCTGCGTCTGACGTGGATTCTAAGAGAGTATCAACAGCAACACGGCAACACACTGCAGTGTCCATCGCGATGAGTTCACTCAAGGCTACAACGCACACACACACATGCAAACCACCACTAAATCATCACACAGCACACCACCAACAAATAGCGAACCCGATCTCCTTCCACACCTACGACTGCATCGGCGTTTCGGCACAAGCGTGTGACCGCTCCGAGCGTTGGGGGGGGCTACTCTTGCGTATGACGTGGTAGAGCGCGCCCCCCCCCGCCCCCCCAATTCGTTCACAACAACCACGGCTGCCGTGGTTGTTCCGAGGCACTGGCCATCACCAAACACGCACACACACCAAACACAAACAGCAGCAAGAGCACGCAGAGGTGAGCGCCGTCGTTACCGGGGGACGATGCCGCGCCGCTCGCGAGCGCGCACACGTGGAGCAGTAGCAGCGTTTGCCCCAGCAGCGGGCGCATTGTTGCGTTGCGTGTCCCAGCCAAGTCTGCGCGTGGTTGTTGTGTCCTCTTGTTCCTGCCGCCTTCCACTCTCTCTTCTCGCCACACCAACCCCGTTCCTCCTCCTACCTTCTGCTGCTGCTGCTGCTCCCCACTGCGTTACCCACCCCGAGTGTCACACGCCTGTGCCAGGCGCGCACAGACTCGGCACCAAGTGGGGGTGGGGTGGAGGGAGCAGGAAGGGGAGGGAGCAGGAGGAGAAGGAGGGATCAGGAGGAGGGTCCCAGGGGCCACTACCACGGCCGCATGGCTGATCCTGACGGCAACCCCCCCCTCCCCCCACATCTGAGCCAACCCAGACTCCCACAGCGCTCCTCCTCAATCTCCCACCGACGCCCGCACCAGTGGCAATTAAAAGGCTGCCGCTCGTTAAGTGCAGCTGCGAACGGCGCCGTCTCAAGTGGCGCGCCGCGCGTCTCAATGCGTGATGCACCCACGAGTTTGTGCGCGGGACCGATGCTTCCGCCGAGAGAGAGACACACGGGCACGGGAGTGGATGTGTCAGACAGGAGAGCGCACGCGTATTGTACGCCGCCTTCAAACACGCGTGTTCAAGCTACGTTTGATGCGCCAGCCAAGGCTCTGAATGTGTCTAATGTACGTGCCATCTCCGAACACACGCGTGTGTTGGGCACAGAGGGGGGGGGGGGAGCGGACACGCGTGTACACATCTGACGTATCGAACCTGTGTGCGCAACTATATCAGCCCTGCGTGCTCACACGTGTAGTTCGTATATGCCAAGGTGGAAGGGAGCACGCGTGTGCATCTCTCATTGATCATGTCGGGCGTGCGACGAAAAACCGGCGTGTGTGTGTGTGTCTGCGGCTCCAGCAACACGGCCCCAAGAGCGCAGGATGGGACGTGGGGCTCCTGTGCCCGCGTTTTGCAGCCGGTGGTGCCGAGACACGGGGAAGGCGATTCATCGCAATGTACGCAGGCTTAAAGCGAACTGCTCAGTGACGCTCGCCAGTGACGGCACCGCCGAAAAACGGGCCCCAATTCTATTTCCGTGAGCATCATCATTACCAGGGCGCTCTTATTAAACTCATCCATCCAACGCACACACATAGGCCCCAAAACGCTTGCCAACCCAATTTATTTCATTCCAATCATTCCGCCGCCTTTCCATATGATTAAGTCACCCTTTTCGAGTATTTTTTGTAATATACTTTTTGAATATCCACAGTTTCATCCCGGTTGTGTTATTGACAATCACATCATGAGAAGAATAATTAATTGGGATATCTCGTAGAGCAATGCAACAACCCTCCGTGTTAGAGAACAATTTACAGAAGCTGCTATCACAGAGCTGTCTCTGAGAACCATTCAAATTATTATTTTTCCTTCCAGAAACACTTCCCAACGCGCCCGGCCACCAAAAGTGATGTTTGTCCCACGACAGTCCTTAATGTGCCCCGATCTAAATGGATTTCCGAAGGCTAAACGGTGTGGAGCCTAGTTTGTAGTAGCATGAGTCACCACGTGGCCTTGCCAGGTTTAGAAGGCAGAGGGACTGCGAGGTGACCGGCTGAGAGCAGTGTTGAGTGGTTTCCCCCTCATACACGTATTTTTCTCTGGGTTCTCCGATTTCCTCCAGCATGAAGCCAAACATCTCATCAACGAAACTAGCCAAACATCCGAATGCCTGACCTTTCTGAGGAAGAGTATTGGCACTCAGCGAGGCCTGCTGGGGTACGACCATTATTTGGAAACATTTAAGAGCGCATATACACTCTGCACATAAAAAGTCTAAATGTTAGACAAAACATAAACCCGTCATGTTCACATAAATCATACATTAAGTAATAATTCAGCAATATAAGGCTTAGAAATTGAATGTTATAGTAGAAGTGCAACGCTGACACGTACCGATAACTCGTGGTGATTGCCTTCCCCGACCAACACCTCCCAAGCTATTCGATTCATTTCTGAGATTCAAAGATCGATATTTCATCGCGTGACCCCATTACATACTACATGCACAAATTGAAAACATTGATTCTCTACACAACACGATTCAATGCACACATCACGAGCTGAAGCGTCGATATTATTCGATGAAGTGATGCATCTTACTGCCTCTAAAGGCATTTGCATTCGTGCAGTCGACCCAAGCATTAACAAACAATTCCCTCAGAGATGCGTCATTAACGTCACTGGCAAGCGGTCTGGATTGCCAGCTCGACTGATAGTGTGTATAGAACAGTTAACAATGGCAAATTAAATCATCTACATTACAGGTGTAAATAATATTTGTCACTGTATTATTGCTAATAGTACGAATTAAGTGGTTCGTGTGTACCACGTGAATTACAAAACTACATCACGCGTTGGGGGTATTCTAATACCGTACGGTAACGTCGTGGGTTTTTATTATTTTAAATTACATTTTTATTCTTTCGCTAATGTGTTAAATTATTCTGGTCCATAGGGTCCAGGTGTGCTTCAATTATCAGGCATCAAAGATTTTGTTTTTCAAACCGGCAATGCTTATTTTACTGGGGTTCTGACGGAATATTGTATTTATTTTTTGACCGGTGTAAAAGTTAATATTACGTAAGCAAGCACACGCAAGCAACACTTTGCTCATCCACTTTACATGGACATTCGCAAATATTTCATTCAACGCAACACACGTGTCAACTCAGAACACACGTGTGCCAAGTGTGTTTACAGTCACACGATACCATCAGGTTACATTCTAATAACGTGAGAACACCTATTAGACTTCATAAATTTCGAGACAGTCTCGTCCCTTCACCTGATGAAGGCCGCTTGTGTTGTGGCCGAAACGTCGTGAGAATTTTATTGTGTTATTTTATTAGTTTATTATTTTATTCTCATTCTACGTGACTTTGCCGAAAGTACCAAAGAAGATGAGACTGCATACAGTTATCTATACATATGTGTTGCAAGTATAAGGTAAGCGTTCTACTTGGTTCTTTCGGTAAAGTCACGTAGAATGGAAATAAAATAATAAAAATAAAACAAAATAAAATAAAATTCTCACGACGCTTTGGCCACAACACAAGTAGCCTTCTTCAGGTGAAGGAACAGAACCGTCGGGACGACAGCGCTTCAATGAACACTGCTAAGCTTGGCAGCGTCTTTTTAAGCTAGGTGGGAGGAGCAGAGCGCCTTGACAAAGGAGTTTACATATCAACAGAATAATTTAGCATTGAAGTAGCTGTGTTAATGTGTTGGATTAGCAGAAATTAGCATGTGACTGGGAGATTAGCATGATGTAGTGTGAGGGATTAGCATGTAACTGGTCACGGAAGTAGCTATGTTAAAGTCAGAGTTTACATAACAGAGACATTTAGTATATTGACGCTAAAGAACTGCAACTACCCAACTATCATACAATAAGCCGATGTGGAAGAACTAAGTATAAACTACATCAATATAATAAATGTACTCAATATATTCTTCAATAAGTTGAGCTATTAACATAAAGTAACTGGGTATACACTATACTATATAATTAATACCATATAGTAAACTGATAAAACAAACTAAAATATAAACTACATCAATGTTATCAATAAACTCAATAGACTCTCCAATCAGCTGAGCTACTAACAATACGTCGTTATACATTACAATTCTACATCGAAAAAAGTGGCGGTTTCTTTTTTCTTATCAACGTTAGCACCACAGAAAGCGACGAACTTTGTTCAGACGGACGAGTCCATCTATGCTCGGAACGGAGGAGGGGGGAGAGAGAGAGAAACAGCCACGATGCGCTGCTCTGTCCTGTGTTGCGTTACAATTATGCTGTAACCTAGACTACTATACATTACAACGTTATACCTTCCAATCTAAACTACATTGTATAATATCGTATACACAGTCCAATGTAAGCTCTAACATTATGCATTATATTGATATGTCTCCAACTAAACTGTTTTCTACATTACACGACTATACACCGTAATATACACTGCCATAGACAAACCCCACCCTTGAATGATACAATTCGTTACCATACACTACCATATACTTTAGACTATAAAATATTAGACTTGTAATATTACACTATGCATTATTCTACCAAACCTACTGTATACCACACTGCTGTACATTCACTATACAATTACAATACTATATATTGCCTTATGAATTATGTTAAACATTACACTGTTATACTACTTATTATTATGCAACATGCTATAAACCATACCATTGACCGTCGTGTGAAAGGTATTAAGAGGCAGTGCCAGCGAATGGACTGCGGTCTGAAAGTCACGATAAAATACAATCAATCAATAACCGAAATGCTTTATAACGTCTTTCCAATGGTTACTAAGCCAGAATCCATCTTCTCGGTTGAAATTGTCTCTGTGTTTGTATATGTGGATGGCCTCATGAACGAATCTCTCATGGTAGCCGGATGGCTTGCAGAGAACCTCCGTCTTGGAGAAGTCAATGTCATGTGAGCCTACTGAATTATAACAGTGATCTGCCACGGCTGAGGGGTTGGTCCTACCGTGTTTAAGATCTGCTTTGTGTTCACGAATGCGGTCCGAGATATGTCGTTTGGTTTCTCCAATGTAGCTGCTACCACAGAGGCAACTTAGTTTGTAGACGCCCGGGTACTGTATGTCTGGAACCACATCTTTTACAGACGGAACCAGATCATGAATTTTATATACTGTGTTGAATCGTACCTGGATCTTGTGTTTATTCAGGATTTTGGAGATTTTTTTTGTGATCCCCGCAATGTAGGGTAAAGTGATGGTTTTGAAAGGCTCCTCAAGAGGGTCGTTCTTCATGGTTGGAGTGATGGCTTTGCGGATTGTGTAGTCGGAGTAACCATTAGCCTTAAGAGCTTGGTGTACGTGCTTGAGCTCACTGCCTATGTGTTCCTGGTCGGATATGCATTGGGCTCTATGGTGCAGAGTCTTGATGAGAGAATTATTCTGTGATGGATGGTGGTGGGAATCCGGTTTTAAGTAAGCATCCGTATGGGTAGCTTTCCTGTAGACAGAGTGGCTCATTGAACCATCAGGTCTCTTTTTTATGAGGACACCCAAAAAAGGTAGCTTGCCATCTTTTTCGACTTCCATGGTAAATCTAATGGCTGGGTGTATGGAATTGATGTGGTCGAGGAATTGGTCTAGAGCAGGCCGGCCATGTGGCCAGATGACAAAAGTGTCATCCATGTACCTCTTCCATAAGGTTGGGCGCAGAGTGGCAGTCTGGATGGCATCAGTCTCAAATTTATCCATGAAAATATTGGCTATAACCGGAGATAGGAGGGAGCCCATTGGGGTACCCTCAGTTTGTTTGTAGAAAGTTCCATTCCAAGTGAAGTATGTTAAGCAGTGTCTCACCAAGGGGGGTACCTCAGTGTTTAGTCCTTGATGAACCAAGTCTTCAATGATTGCGATGGTGTCAGGTACAGGAACTTTGGTGAATAAGGAAACTACATCAAAACTGACAAGCAGGTCGTCTGGGGACAGGGAAATACCCTTGATTGTCGATACCAGGTGAGTAGAATTTTGTACCGCAGAGGTGGTTTTTCCAATGAAAGGCCGCAGGATTTCAGACAGAAAACGAGCCAGTTTGTAGGTGGGGGAGTTGATAGTAGAGACGATGGGACGAAGGGGTGTATCTACTTTATGTATTTTTGGTAAGCCGTATAATCTTGGTCGCCTGGCAGCAGAAGGTTTCAATGAAAACTGTTTAGTTTGATCAATTAATGCGGTTGAATCAGAAATTATTTTGTTGGTTTGTGTGACGAGGCTGTTGGTGGGATTTCTTTTTATTTTTGTATAGCTGCCATCGTCGAGTAATTTTTTAATTTTGTTGTTATATTCTATTTTATCCATGATGACAGTAGCATTGTCCTTGTCGGCTGAGAGGATTACAATGTCATCCCTCTTTTTTTATTTATATAATTCAAAACGCTCATCTTTGCTGAGGTTGCTAGCTGGCATCTTAGCGTTTTTGAGGGTTGCAGCAATTTCAGATCTGCGGTACAAAATTCTACTCAACTGGTATCGACAATCAAGGGTATTTCCCTGTCCCCAGACGACCTGCTTGTCAGTTTTG